ACTAAACATGTCCATTTTTTAACCTTTCCTCAGAGGTCAGATTGTCTAAACCTTTTATCATTTTTGTTGCTCTCCTCTGGACTCTCTCAAATTTGTCCAGATCTTTCCTAAAGTGTGGTGCTCAAAACTGGACACAGTATTCCAGCTGAGTCCTCATCAGTGCCAAGTAGAGGGGGACAATTAGTTTCTGTGTCTTACATATAATACTTCTGTTAACACACCCCAGAATATTAGCTGTTTTGCAACTGTATCACACTGTTGACTCTCATTCAATTTATGACCCACTATAACCGCCAAATCCCTTTCTGCAGTACTACTGTCTACACAGTTATTCCCCATTTTTTAGTTATGCATTTGACTTTTCCTAACAGCAGTACTTTGCATTTGTCTTTATGGAATTTCGTCTTTTTGAATTCAGACCATCTCCAATTTGTCAAGGTGGTTTTGAATTTTAACCCTCCCACCTGGGAGTCATCTGAAGATTTTATAAGCATACTCTCCACTCTTATCCAATAATTAATGAAAATATTGACTAGTACCTGACCCTGGACTGCCCACTACATTGGTCTTCCCAGTGTGACAGCGATAATTGCTCTTTGAATATGGTCTTTCAGCCAGTTGTGCACCGACTTTATAGGAATTTCATCTAGACCACATTTCCTTAGTTTGTTTATGAGGATGTCAAATGGGACTATGTCAAAGCCTTACTAAAATCAAGATATAATCTGCATCATTCTGGTTCCTCTGAGGCATTCTGGACCTAAAATATGTGAATTGTTTATTTGACAAAGCAGCTACAGGCTCTTTGTGCAGACAGAGGTGCCCAGGAATTCAAACATACATTCATTTTTTCTATATGCTTGTCTTCATCCCTTCTCTTAAGCATACTCAGTCCTCGCATTTTCAGTGATGTGGCTTCCAGATGGAGGAGACTGATCTGTTATATAACTAATTGCTGCACAATTGCAGTGCCAGTTTCAGACTCTCAATGACCAACATAGGAATATAAAGAGTATAGCTATGCTCATTATTTTGTTGCTGGAAATTTCCCCCCAATTTTGCCTTGCGTGACTGTTCATGAAATGATGATTTTTGTACCTGGAGTCTAAATTTCTTACATTTAGTATGAAAACTGATTATGAAAATGAGATGTTTCGAGATGCTAAATGTCACTATTTCTAAAAAATGGAACTGTTTTAAACAAAAAATAATTTCTGTTGTCTAAAACTTGTCGTAAATTTTGTGTTAGGGTAACATTACTAGGTTATGTTATTATACGTGAAACTTACAAAACTAACAATCGACTTTGGAAAGAATAACGTATGCTAGCCTGAGAAGTATGACCCAATAGGGAAATGGGTTCATACATCTGTTACAGCAGCTAAATTAGAGATCCAAATGCAAAATCAGGACTAGGGACTAGCAAGTGCATTTTTGATAATTCCTGGAGAATGTTAAGAAGATAAGTCAATGGATGGATTCCTTTGATCCATAAATGCAGATATTTTAACTGTGACAGATAATTAAATACCATGAAAGCTATTATAAATTTTAACCGGGTGATAGCACAATGGAATGGAAATAGTTTACACTAAATGTTCCAGGAGAGCACAGTACTTTGCAGCATGCTTGTCCCTGGAAATAAGTTTTTATTAAATGGAAACTTAAAAAGGTAATGGTAATGAAAAAAAAAACCCAAAACAATTGACATGCCAGTGATATTTGCAAGGGATAGTAAGAAAAGATTATTGTTCTCTCAGTTTTTTGTCTAATTTGAGTCAATTTATAAGGCAATATATAAATAACCGTGATTGGCATAGTGCTACAGCTTTAGTGTACTATGGACCGGATCCAAAGCGCACTGAAATCAATGCTAGTCTTTCCACTGATTTCAATAGGTTTTGGATCAGACTGTGTATGAGGATCTGTTTATGTTCCTTATCACCCATCCCCTGGGAGAGAAGCATCAGCTATGCCATGGGTCCGATTCTGTAACCCTACTCATGTTGAGTAATACCTTAATTCACAAATAATCCCACAGATCTCAATGCTACTCAACGTGGGTAGCAGAATCTGAACCCATGAAGGTAGAAATGGACCCATGCTGCAAAATTCTCATCCAGGTTTGGATGTTGAACCTCACAAAGTTTAGGGGTGTTTAGATCTGGGATTTGGCTCAGGACCAGTCATGAAATGTAGATCCAGACCCAGTTTTGGATTCTAAAGCTTCAAAAAATGGGGATGTTCAGATCCACAGTTTTGGTTTGGGGTCTGTTCTTCTAAGAAATCTAAAGTTCCAAAGCATGATGACATTTGTGTGGAGGTTGAGGTATGTGGTGTGTGTGTTTGTAAGAAACATTAAGGTAGGAAGTGGGGTAACATAGCTTGTGTTTCTTGATTGTAAATGTATTGCATGTTTGGATCCTGCAATTTCAGTTGAAGAATGTTTATTCTTCTCATAATTAATCATGATTATTTTTGTTTTGCCTGGTATATTAGGAATCCTTAATATTTATCAAGGTTCTCATATGACCTTCACCTGAGCACCTCACAATCACAGCTGTGCAAGTGGGGAATTGCTTATCCCCATTTTGCACCTGGGGAACTACAGTGCCCAGTAAACTAAACAAATTGCACAAGGAGGTCTGTTGCTGAGCCAGGAATTTAACCCAGGTTTTCTGAGTCGAAGACAAGTGCCCAATCCACTAGACCAGTGGTTCACAACCAGGAGTTTGGGGTCCCCTGGGGGGCCATGAGCAGGTTTGTCTGTCAAGCAGGGCCAGCATCAGACTCACTGGGGCCCAGGGCAGAAAGCCAAAGCCCCATGCATGGGGCTGAAGCCCGAAGCCCGGAGCCCCACCACCTGGGGCTGAAGCCGAAGCCTGAGCAGCTTAGCTTCATGGGGCTCCCTGTGGCATGGGGCCCCAAGCAATTGCCCTGTTTGCTATCCCCTAATACCAACCCTGGCTTTTATATGCAGAAAGCCAGTTGTTGTGACACAGGTGGGCCGCGGAGGTTTTATAGCATGATGGGGAGCCTCAGAAAGAAAAAGGTTGAGAACCCCTGCACTAGACCATCCTTCCTTTTTAAAAGGGGTAGGCATTTACTCTACTGGGAGAAAACAAAATGCCAATACATGTATTTAGGTATGAATTAAATACTGAACATATTTGCCCATAGAGATGATATGGAAACCCTGCCCACAACTCCACAGATCTGCCAGAATAGAAAGGGCAATATTTGATGTAAGCTGTGTTGCCTTTATTAACTCAAGAAACAAGGTGCCTCTCTGAATACTTGCTGAATACTTAAAAAATGAAAGGTGGAATTGAGTTGTTAGGGTACAGTATAAGGTTGAACTGATTAATTCAAGGTGTCCAAAGCCTGCACATCTACTGGCAGTACTAAAAAGGTGGGTATGCTATAAATACCACTTCACAGGAAGACGGATAAACCCCCCAAGGTAGAGGGGCGTAAAACCAAGATAACACCAGAAGGAAGCGCCATGTGTGTTCTGAATTTTGTGGACACTGAGGGCTTGTCTTCACTACTGGGGGATACACGCTGCTGCAATCGATGCAGCAGCAGTCGATTTAGTGGGTTTGGTGAAGACCTGCTAAATTGATGGCAGAGCGTTCTCCAGTGGACTCTGATACTCCAGCTCCCCGAGAAGAGTAAGGTAAGTCGACCGGAGAGCATCTCTCGTCGACTCGGTGCAGTGAGGACATGGAAGTAAGTCGACCTAAGCTATATCGACTCCAGCTACGTTATTCATGTAGCTGGAGCAGCGTAACTTAGGTCGACTTACCCCGGTAGTGAAGACAAGTCTAGAGTAATGAAGCTAATTGTTTGCTAGGTAGTAATCATCACATACCCAAATGACCATTCAGCAGGCTATAGGAGACTCCGTTGATGGCAACAATAGGGCCAGAACGTTATGGTCCATTCCGAGCATGGTAATGTGGCCAAGAAATGAGTGAATGCTGGAATAATCCAGCTAACTAAGAAATGAATCTCTGATGAAAAAGAACACAAGCAGCTTGTGGTTTACATATACTCTACATAACCTGCAAGCAATGGAATTTTTTACATGCTCATATATGATCTTAGAGCTTTATTTTTACATTTGTGTGTGTGAGGGGGTGCATATGGATGGGTGTAACTGATATTGATAGACACGCTTGAGCCAAATCCCCGGGTTCATGTTCAAAATCCAAATTTGACTTTTACAACTTGAGCCCATTTCTAATATTTAGTCAGATTTATGACCAATGTAGTACTTTGGAGCTAACTCTTGTTCATAGTTTAGCCATTGTTCAGTCATCATTAAATTATGCATTTATCTTTTTAGCCTATAGACACTTAAGCCTCCGTGTTCTTGGGGTTTTATTTATTTACTCCTTTGCTGCTTGATAGATGGGAGCACATAAAATGTTTCCTAACTGGGGATGTCTCATTAGTTTTTTCCTTTTAGTGTCATCTGTCATACAATAGCAGATAATGTGGAGTCTTCACACATTCATGTGACCGTATTGTATTTTTATTTATAATTATAAACTAGTTCCTTTTATGTTTGCACAGGGCAGTTGAGATTAAATATAGCCTTGTGCTTAAACACTATCCCCAAAGAAGATGCAGTTATATTTAAACCAGGGCTCTATCTTCTTGTGTCATTACAGCCCCACTGTTTTCTAAAAAGCAAGCGTGCTCTGTGATATAGAAGGTGGAGACTGGGAAGCTGGCTCTGCTAAGCCTTGCCTAATGCAAACTGCTTTAGTATGCACATCACATCATGCCAGCTATACTGCAGGGAGCAAGCAGTTATCGCACAAGCGTGCATCCTCAGAGCCAGGATAAACACTCCGTTACTCTCCCTCTAAACTGCTCTTCTGGGAGGGAGAGAAAATAAATAGAGAGAGAGAGAGAGTACTAGTTAGTAA